GTGGATATTTAAGATCCCTGGATCTGCAACAAATATGCCTTTCTTTTTTTTTTTTTTGAAATGGAGTCTCACTTTGTATCCCAGGCTGGAGTGCAATGGCACAATCTCGGCTCACTACAACCTCTGCCTCTCGGGTTCAAACAATTCTCCTGCCTCAGCCTCCCGAGTAGCTGGGATTACAGGCACCCACCACCACGCCTGGTTAATTTTTGTATATTTAGTAGAGATGAGGTTTCACCATGTTGGCCAGGCTGGTCCTGAACTCCTGACCTCAGGTGATCCATCTGCCTCAGCCTCCAAAAGTGCCAGGGATTACAGGCGTGAGCCAATGCACCCATCTGAGATCTACTCTTAAAAAATTTCAAGAATGTATTATTGTTAACTTGAGAGACCATGCTGTACATTAAGTCACCAGAACTTATTCATATTATGACTGAAAGTTTGCACTCTAATTAAATCTCCCAATCTTCCCTACCTTCCAGCCCCTGATAACCACCATTCTGCTGTTTCTACAGGTTCAACTTTTTTGGATTCCACATATACATAAGATGATGCTGTATTTGTCTTTCTATGTGAGGCATATTGAAATATACATACAAAAACTCTACACTTCTAGTGTCTATCCCCACATTTTGTGTTCTGATACCACAATCTGTTTTTTATACTATATATACATATATAGACAAGTTATTGTAGTTCTAGTTATTTTTAATATTTTTGTATTTTAACCTTTATACTAGAGTTTATATTGATTTACATACTATCATTACAGTATTTGGGTATTCAGAATTTGACTATATACTTAGCTTTACCAGTGGATTTTATACTTTCATATATTTTTGTATTGCTAATTGACATTCTTTCAGTTCAAATAACTCCCTTAGCTTTCTTACAAGGCAGGTCTAGTGATGATGAACTCCCTCAGCTTTTGTTTGTCTTTCTCTCCTCTTCATTTCTGAAACAGATTTGCTAGGTAAAATACTCTTGATGGCAGTTTTTTCTTTTAGCACATTGAATATATCATCTACTTTTTCCTGGCCTGCAAAATTTCTGCTGAGAAGCCCACTGGTAGTTTAATGGGTATTCTCTTGTATGTGATGAGTCTCTTTTGCTGCTTTCAAAAATCTCTTCTTGACTTTGATTTTTGATAGTTTGATTAAAATGTGTCATTCCCTGGTGGTCCATATCTCTCCCAGATTTGGGAAGTTTTCAGTTATTATTTCTTTAAATGAAATTTTCTTCTATTTTCTCTCAGTCTTCTTTGGGAATTCCATTAATTCATAAATTCATTCTCTTGAGGGTGTCCCATAAATCCCATAGGCTTCTTTGTTGTTTCTTTTCATTCTTTTTTCTTCACTTACTGGATAATTTCAAATGACCTGTCTTTGAGTTTTTTTTGTTTTTTTTTTTTTTTTTTTGCTTGATAAAGTCTGCTTTTGATGCTTTTTGTTGCATATGTTTTTATTCATTCTGTTCTTCAATTCTAGAATTTCATAAGGGTTCTTTCTTATAATTTCTCTCTTTGTTAACTTCTCATTTTGTTTACTTGATTATGTTGAGTTGTCTGTGTTGAACAGATGCTGAACACAGCTGAGTTTCCTTAAAACAATTATTTTAAATTCTTTGTGGGCAGTTTGTAGATCTCCATTTCTTTAGGGAGAGTTACTGGAAAATTATTATATTTCTCTGATAGTATCATGTTCACTTGGTTTTTCTTGTTCCTGAAAGTAAAGACACCTGAAAAAGTAATCACCTCCTCAAGTCTCTACTGACTAGCTTCAGAAAAGAAACACCATCACCAACCGGCCTGACTAGGGATTTCTGAGGCTCTCTCAAAACTTACCTATGGATTTGCCCACTCAACATCTCTTGTTCCCTCTTCAAGAAAAATGCTTAAGATTGTATGTCTTCTCTCAATCACACAAGCCATGGTAGATAATAAAAGGCTACCATTTCTTATTCCTACATCAGTGCCCTGAAATGCTTAAATTTGTATATCTTCTTCCTGTTTTTCAGAATCAGGCTTGTTGTCTGTGCAAGCTCACAAGCCATCTGCAGAGACTTTTACTTTCTGTTCACGGGAGCATGTACAGAGCCAGCTGTAGTCAGGGGCAGGAGTGAGGTACACAGTGTTGGGGGTTCCCATGAGCCAGCTGAAGGGGTCTGCAGGCAAGGTCTCCCAAGTAGCTCATGGGCAGGATTTCTGATGAAGTCTCCAAAGTAGTTAGTAGAATCCAAGGCCTTTGGTTGAGTTCCATGCCCTGGCTGCTGTGAATCCCCATCTCTCTTCCCTGCTTCCAGCTTCTCCCAGCCACTCAGCAGTGCTAAGCACCTCAGTACTCTGGGTGGGGCTAGAATCAAGGGGGCCTCTTTGGCACCACCCCATGGTTGAGTAAGCTGGGTGCTCACTCACTATACTCTCACTTTTTCCTGTAGAATCATGGGCTAAAGGGATCTCTCTTGGTATTGAGCTGTACCTAGAGGAGTGACATACGTAAATGAAATTATTATTTTCTCTTCAATGCACCTATTCTCAAATTTTCTTCTTTAATGGTGTGCTGGAACTTGTCCACTGGACTCCCAGACTCCCTCAAAGGTACTCTCATGCATGTGTGGTTATTAAAATGAGTGCCTCTGTAGGGTTATGATAATCAAAAAATGATTCTTGCTGACATCACTCTCAAGAATTCTTTTAGGTGGGAAATAAAAGTCGTTTAGAATCAGACTGCAGAAACTCTGTAGAGCTACAGAAAACAAGAAGGTACATTACCAAGATCTGTCACAGATTCACAGAACACAGTAATTAAGGTCTGAAAGTCTTCCCAATCAAAGAACAGGAGGAGTTCACTCTGAGTTAACTGTTTAAACAGCATCCCTTGTGAAACAGAATTACCACCGTATGATTTTAGATTGAACCAATTTAATTTCCTACTGTTTGCTTCTAAGCAGGAATTAGAGCTTTCATTCGGAATTGCTAATGGTGCCTATTCTGGACTCCCTTAGCCCAGAACAGAAGAAGAGGGAAGGACTAACATAGTGTGCATGTGATTTAAGACACAGCCAGAACCTGGTCACAGGGCTAGTTCTGCAACAGGCAGGAATAATGAAAAATTAATGAACCCACATGGTATTTATATGTCTAATTTTGATACTAATCATTTGTATACTCTAAGGAAGATGTTATACTTTTACAGAACCATTAAAATGTGCTTTAAACAAAAATATGTATATAATTCTAAAAGTATGTTTCACATTTCATTTCCCAGCAGATGTTCAGTCAATACATTCATGCAGTGACACCTGTAACTCACATGTGGTAGTTTAACTTAGCAACAGTTTATTTCCCTTTGCAATAAAACAATGATTTGAACTAAAAAAAACATAAAAGATGTATATTATTAAGGAAAGATGTTAACAGGTTAACAGATGAAAGCATATAAGCTGAGTGGTGAAGAAACTCAGTAGACAACAGAGGTCTTTTGGAAATCTGTTGGTGACTCCTCAGAGAGAGTCTGAACCTTCTTAGGTGATTCCCAAAATGGACAAGGGAAGAAAGAGAACAGCAAAATGTGAGAATTTGTAAAGGACCTCAGGTGACAAGATAAAGTTTCAGGGAAAGAAGTGAATTGGAAGTGTTATTTATTTCTGGAGACAGGCAGACCAGTCACGCCTATGACACAAGGTCAGCCTCTGCAGCATCTCTTTGATTTGTTTCTCCCGCTCATTGTCTGTAGCCACTGCCACCCTCCAGATCCTGATTTCCTCACACCTGTATAGCTGCAGTGGCTTAATGGTGTGCTGAACCTGACTGGCAAGGCTGATATTTTCATCCCCAATTTATTAATGCAAGAACTAAAGCTCAGAAAGATCCACTCGCTTATTCAAGATTGCACATTTTGAAAATGGTGAAACCAAGACCACAGCCTAGGCATTCTGTTTCCAGGTTCGACGTTCTTTGCACCAAAAAGAAAAAAATGATAATCATTTTAAAATCTTTTATTCTTGGACTCCAAATCTTAAGAGTGTCCCATTTTTCTCCCAAGACTGTGACAACTCTTCTGTTTGACTTTCAAGACCTTCCATTAGTTTGCTCTTGTCTGTCTCTCGATCCTATTTCCAATCACACTTTTAGCTACACTCCCACCTCTCCATCCAAAGCCTGGTTGGCTGCTTTGTGAGCTCACCAAAATCATTCCCACCTCTGTGCCTTTGTTTATGCCATTCCCCCCTTAAAGATCCTTACCTCCTTTATCTTTCATCCCTCTAGACCCCATTCAAATCTTATACATTCTGTGATGGTGTTTTCAATGTATACTCTCTGAACTGTCTATATTGACTGTTTCATCATGGAATATGACTCTTTAATGTATTTTCTTGGATTGTTCTCTAATTGTTACCCTTTGCAACAAAATACAAACCAAATTGCTACAGGCAGTCCTTTGCTTGTTTGTCTTTTCTTAACAACTACTTCATTTTATATAGCGATTTTTGAATTATCATTAGTCTAACATTAAATATATACCAGGACTTCTGTAAATATTTGATAGCTAGAGAAATACAGAAGAATCAGTATTAATAGGAAATATGAAGACTTGGAAATTATAAAATTTGTGGTCAAGGCAAAAGTTTATTAGGTGTGGTGGAAAATTTAAGTGACAAAATTATAACACAAACTGGTTAAAAAGAGGCAGAAACAGAGTTGACCAGCAGACTGAACCATGGCTTTTTTCTGTGTTTCCTTTTATCACAGCTCTGGCTTTCTGACACTCCACAAAACAAGGTAAATGACTTATGATTACTAAACAGACTAACCCAGGCTCAGAAATAATCCGTATTATCTGCAAATGATGATCACATATGTGCTCATGCATCCAGGGTTGTAGCTGGCATTTTATGAAATGACACAAAAGATTCTGCCCATCTTCAATTTTCCAAATTTAATGAGTGTCTTTTCAGAACAGAGGACTATAATAAGAACAAGATATCAAGAAGGTCATTACCCTTGCCCTTGTGGAGCTTTAAGAGTGTGTAGTTTGGAGGAAGTACTTATATCCATGCACAATTAAATAGGTCCGTTGCAGAGCAACCTGTGAACAAATGCGGGTCAAAATATTAGTATGTGTATCCCTGTTGAAGTGATGCTAATAAAAAGGAATAAAAAGAATCGGGTGGAAGATTTTCAAAACAGTGTCAGTAAAAATGATGAACTTAATTTTATGGGGAGAAAAGGGTAAAATATCCTAGTATGTGCAAAGTTATGGACATAGAAGCAAATGCCTCATCACAGTGTACCTGGTAGAGTATGTTTTATTATCATCATTGTTATTAGTATTCCTATTTGATAATAGGAGATGGCTGAACATCTAAATTAAAATCTCCCAGGTCATACAGTGAGTTACTGGGTCAGCTAAAATAAGTGATATTTTAGGAACAGTTTACATCATGAAACACTGAAACTGTATATTTTTTCAATAAATGAAAATACCCTGGGTAGTCCTTAGACAACAATGAGTAGAAATTAAACTATATTTTTAAAGGGCTTACTTCATAAATATTGCAAAGATGGGGCAAAGAGCTTTCTCATTCCCCTAGTAAAGAAAATCAGGGTATTTTTTTAAAGGAAGAAGAATCATTAACAGTATTTCCTGAAGGAGAATACAGCCTTCCAGCCTGTATCAGAATTCCACACTACTACCAGAATTCTAAGATTAAGGGTGTGTTTTACCCACACCCTAGATTTTTGGGAACACAGGCCCTGCATTATGTAAGATCTGCTGAGGAGGATAATGTGACTCTTCTCTTTACGCAAGAGCCCTCATTCTGGTCACACACACACACACATATATATATATATATATATATATATATGTATGTATGTATGTATGTGTATGTGTGTGTGTGTGTGTGTGTGTGTGTGTGTGTGTATGCATGTACTTTTTAAAATGCTCTTTGTCCTTTAGCCAAACTGGCAAATCAGCCTGATTAACACACATCTATTTATCTCTACTGCCAGCTCCTATAAATGGTAGCGTTTACCCAAGACAGAAAAATCTCTTGGAATAACGAATATACTTGTTTCAATAATCTGCAGAGCCATAAAATGAGAATAATTCAGAATAGAAGAGTAGCTGGTTTCAAATACTATTTCATTTTCCTCCCAGCGCACGACTAGAGCCCAGTATACTACTGTATAGTATGGGCTTTTATGAAGGCTTCTATTTCCCACCTGTATTTCTTTTTCTTTTTCCAGCAACAGTCTGCCTTTGCGCCAACTCCTAAATAACCATAAATTTTGTTCTTATAAACCTTAATGAATGCTTGGCCAAGATGCTGTAACTATTGGCTTCTATATTGGAGCATAAATGGAAAGGGGGAAAAAAAGTACACTGTGAAAAACTGGATAAAATGGAAAAAAGATCACAGCAAACCCAAAGTCGCAATTTGCCTTTAATGTGAAGGAGGCCTTGTTTTCACGGTGTGGCAGCTTTCAGGGGTTTTAATCTCAAAGTGGCTGATCAATTTAAGGTAAGTGGCAGGCATTTGGCCTGGTTCCCAGGCTTTGCTTTGCTGCTCTGAGAAAAGAAAGGATTCAGTCAGACACACAGACAACAGGCATCATCAGCGGCTCCCACATTCCAAGCATTTTAACACAGATTAGGTTGGCATGATTCTACTGTTTACTGAAATCTCCTAGGTGTTGCATTTTTCCTTTTCCTTGCTGTGGTTATCCAAGATGGTTTTCTCAGGTCAAGACCTTCATATGCCAAATAGCTTGCAGCGCTGTGAAGGGAAAAGAAGAGCAGAGGTCAAGGCTTCTGATTAAAATGCTATTTCACTTGCTTGCTGCAAAATATGAGACTTCAGACAGCAGGTAATTGAGCACTGAACTTTTTGCCTAAGGCATACATTGAGAGGAACTGTTTTACATGCATGCCTGAGGGGGAAAAAAACGAAGATAATTTCTTTAACAAGGACAAACTTAATTCAACTAGGAATGCCCAAAGGATTAACAGGGTGATCTGTAGTTATTTTTGCTTCAGATTTTATAAGCATGAGGCTTACAGATATGTTGAACGAGATTACGACCAATATAGTTCACTTTTAAATTAATATTTTTACACCATATAGTCTTTACTTTTTCAAAACAGTAATATTAAATGAGTTCAACTGACCCCTTTTGTTCTTAGCAAAAGTTAATTTTTTAAATCCATTTGACCTGTAACCTAGGTTAAATAAAATACACATTCTATCAATTAAGCCAAAAAACAAATAAATTGTCTCTCATACAGTTTTGCTGTATCATACTGTATAGAAAATTTGCATTTTAAAATACATTTTCAGTTTTTAAAGATCCTTTGCCTTACCTTAACATAATCAAGAACACCTTCCCATTAGTTATCTTCACGGCAGACCTCCTCATGTTTTATTTCTCTCTAAGAATTTTATCAAACTAAGAAATTTATATGTGGTTTTAAAAATAATTTTTCTAGCTATTATACTTTTCAAAAGCAAAGTTGAATTATTATATTTACTATACCTAGAAATGCCTTCCTAACATTTCATACATTTATATTGACTTATTTCTTCCAAAACTTACACATTGTTGCACTTAAGTAACCGATATTAAGAATAAGTACTCCTGTTTGTAAGGGTGAGCTTAGAAACTAATGCAACTATATGCAGTTATTTTCACTTCAGTCGTTATATATGCAAGCATGGCTTTTAAAAAGGAATATATGACTTTTCACTGATTAAAGAAAAAAAAATGGAGTCAGTCACCCAAAATATTTTTCCTTTGCTTAAGTTTGAGCTGGGTTTCTGTCACTTGTCCCTTAAAAGAGAAAGATTAGTAAGTTTTCTGTTGGTCACAAATAAACTATCTCTGCTTCCAGGAACAACAAATTCAAATACATACCAAGCCATAATTCCATCTTCTATATAAAGAGCTTCATTGCCCACACTGGGGGTGTCCAGGCCTCCATAAAAGCATGGCCTGTGAGGTTTTCAGCTTCCAAAGTGGAGTAGGAAGATGCTCAAGACTGGGGAGGAGCTAAAAAGAGAAGCTTTATTTTGGGACTGGTAGTAAAAATTGATGGGCATTTTCCAAAAATGTAAGCCTGCAGGAAGAAAGATAAATAACAGAGAAAAAGAGGTAAACAACTATAAAACGCATACTGTACCTAGGAAATAGGAAGAGGGAACACTAGCTAGAAGCAACATTTCCCATTTTCTTTCAGAGAAAATAGTGCATTTATTCTGTTTGCTATGGGCAAAGTTCTAAGATATGCTTTTCATATATACACAAAGATCATAATACATTGTCATTTTGTCACTGGGTCCTCAATGCAGAAAGATAATGTTCGTTTATCTAAGTTGCTTACAAACCCTGCCATGTAGCACCTAAATATCCTAAAAATAGGAATTGGGCAAAGCAGAACATGGAGTAGACTTATGCTTCCAATTTCCAATTTCTAGCTGAAAGACAATGCCAGCTCTACACCATAGTTGACATTGGGCAATCTTTCTGTGCATTGGTTTCCTTTTTTGTAAAATGGATTCAGTGAGAATACCTATCTCATAAGACTCTCACAGGGTTGTGATTCAATGGCCTAATGCATGTAACCACAGTACTATGATTTGATAATTGTTCCATAAAAATTAGCCGTAAACCTTTACTATATCTGTTTGTATTTCATTCTTATTGGGAAGCATATTACACAAGTTCATTTCACAACATTGCTGTCAGATAAGAAATGTGTGGATTCTGTGTGATTATGGATATTAACTAGAGAATCTGTGTGTATTGTTATATATTTGGGAGTGTCTTAGCCCATTCAGACTGCTATAATAAAATACCTTAGGCTGGGTGCTCAAAAATATCAGTAAATAAATTACAATGCATGAGAAATGGTTTTTAAATGTGATGACAGTACATAATTTCAGTAGGGTCAGAGAAAACTGGGTGCTCATGTTGGAGGCTGACTTACAGACTTACAAGTAACAGCCATTTATTGCTCACAGTCCCAGAGGCTGGAAAATCCAGATCAAGGCACCAGCAAATTCAGTGGCTGGTGAGGAATCTCTGCTTCACAGAGGATACATTGTTGTTTCATCTTGACATGGCAGTAGGGGCAAGGCAGCTCCCTTCACCCACTTTTGTAAGAGGCACCAATCACATTCAAGAAGACAGAGCCCTCATAACTGTATTCCCAAAGGACACCCACTTCTTAATACTATCACGTTCGTTGGGGGCTAGGTTCCAACGTAGGAATTTGAGAGAGACACCAACATTTAGACCATAACAGGGAGGATGGGACTCTGTGTGTGTGTGTGTGTGTGTGTGTGTGTGTGTGTGTGTGTGTATACATATACATATGCATGCTGGTATAAGTTTACCTCTTGATTTCTCACGGTATTATGCTCTCAATTATCTCGCTTCCCCCCTCATCTTTCTTCCATGTCCAATTTGTCATTGACTCCAAGAGAGGTAGTTGAGGTATCTTTAAAAATCAAAGCTGGCCTTGAAATTAGAACCCCACATTAAATCTGTTATTCTGTGACACTAAGCAAATCACTTAGTCTCTCAAAGCCTCAGTTTGTCACCTTCAAGTCAATGAGAAAACGATACAGGCTCCTAGCATGACACCTAACCCACAGTAGACACTCAGGATACTTGGTTGAGCCTGCATCTTCCTTCATGATGTCTCTGAAATCTATGCCTTTCTTTTGTTCCCTTTGCCACCCTGGAGCAGGCCTTCATTCCCTCTCATCCAAGGCTCAACCTTCAATTTAGTTTTCTCTGATCCAATTGAAGTCATGTACTGTCATCAGATTAAAAAATGTCTCACTGCATTGCAATGTATTTATTGGTATTTTTGAAGCAAACCAACAAAAATATCAAACTCTGCATATTTTCCTTTCATACTTTTAGGTACATATGTTGTCAATATTGCTATTCTCTAGGCCTATGAAGACCCTTATTGTTTAATTCTTCCTAAATATTCTTTCACTCACTTTCTCTGTGCTGTGTGAGAACTCTCTCTGTTGAAGTCTATATTATATACTACTCTAAGTCCTAAAGATACCAAGATAAATGAGTCCAAAAAATCTTGGCTGTACCATTCACTTGCAATAATATTAATAAAAATTACTATTTATTGTACTTACAACTAAGATTTTATATACATTATCTCATATAATCCTCACAACAACCCTATAAAGTATTATTATTTTATGAGAAACGGTAGCTTAGGAATATTAAATACATTTCCCATTATATAGATAGAAAGTGGTAGAGCACAGATTTGAATCCAGATCAAAGCCTGAATTCTTAAGCTCTCAGCTACTCTGCCTGTGTTATTCTTAGAGAAATAATAGAAATGGCTCTACCATCAGACTGCCATAGATGTCATAAATAAATTGTCATGTCAGTGTTCCAATAAAACTTTATTTACAAAAACAAGAGACTGGCCCACGTACATTTGCCAACCCCTTCGATAGATAACTAAGTTTTTTTAAGTCCTGTTGATAAAGCAGTCATCAAGCTATAGTTTACTAAGAAAAACATTTAGAGTTTTCTAAGAAAGGATTGTTGATTTTTAAAACATTTTGATGAATCATATTAATAAATTCCCTAATAAGACATATTTGCTTTCTGTAATAAACTTTTTTCTTGCTTTTAATATACTTTCTACACATAGAAGAGAAATTAAGGCCCAGAATATAAGAATCCAGCTCCAGGAGAAAAGGGAGTTACAGTGAAGAAATCCCAACATTCAGCATGCAAATTTTCCTATGAAGCATTTCCTGATTTCTGAAATGAGCACATATTGGGCAAGATGGCAGAAACTAGACAGAAAGCAGCTGCTAAGAAGCTAAAAAGCTAAGCAGATATTTAGGCAATCTCATGGTACCAAGGAAACAAAAATTGGAATTCAGGAACCACCAAGTAAAAGAGATACTAGTAAACACTTCAGGCTTTCAATTAAAGCACTGAATAAGATATATCCTAGGATTAAGAATAATACAGAAATATAAAAGCCTTAACCAGATTAAAGTGTTCTGCATGTACTCTTACCTGCCATACAGGAAAAAAAAAATCAAATCTTCTCTGGAAAAGCTTACATCATTCAGAGACTCTACAATTTTTACAATAAATTTCTTATAATCAGTAAAAAAAATCCTAAGTATACTAGGAAATGGTGCCAAACAAAAATAAAGAGAAAAAATAGACAATTAAAAATAGAACCATAGGTGATACAGATATTGGAGTTATAAGACACTGACTTTAAGGTAGCTGTAAACTGATATTTTGAAAAATCATAGATGAGAAAATTAAAAAAAAATCAGGGACTTAAAATCCATTTTTTTAAGTATCAAACACTACAATTAAAATTTAAGAAACTACCACTTTTTATGTTTCATTGTAGTATTATAGAAGAATATTCACCATTTTCTGAAAAACACTATTAAAACATTTCCCTTTTCAATTACATATACTTGAGCCCAGATTTTCTTTATGTACTACAATCAAAACAACACACCACAGTGGATTAAAGACAGAAGCAATAAGAGAATCCCACTGTCTTCCATTAAGCTGGGCATTTAAAAAAAATTGTAAAAACATAAAGCAAGGTTCTTTTTCTCACTTTATTTTTTTGTTTTAGAAAATACAGCTGTTTTCACTTATCTATATATTTTAACATGTAATGGGTTTATTGTTATTTTTAAATAATTTAATAAGTCTTTTAAATTTTCTCAGTCTTCCATTTAATTATGGTAACCATTAATAGATAAAACCCACATAAACAAAAGCTCTTTAGAGTTCTAAATACTTTTTAAGATTGTAAAAGGGTTGCAAGATCAAAAGGTTTGATAACACTGATCTATAGATTCAAAACACTTACAATCAAGTTATCAGCATGTTTTTGTTTATCTGTCTGTGTGTGTGGAAATTGGCAAGCTGTTTCTGATCTTTACATGGAAATAAAAGGATCAAGAATAGCCAAGAGAATTGTGAAGATTAGCTTACAGCTATCAAAGTTTATTTTAAAGCTTTTTTAAAGTTTATTTTAATGTAGCCAAAAGGGTGACTGGCATCAGGAAAAATAGACCAAGAGGATAGAATTGAATCCAGAAATAGTCCTGATATATAGTTACCTGATTTTCAACAACAGTGTTACTATGATGCAGTGGAAAAAGGATGGTCTTTTAAATAAATTATGCTGGATTGATTGTTCTACATTCTTATCAGCATTTGGTATTATCAGTGTTTTGGATTTTAACCGTTCTAATAGATGTGTAGTGATATCTTGTTGTAATTTGGAATTCTCTAATGGCATATGGTGTTGGACATCTGTTGAGATGCCATTTGCTATCTGTATATCTTCTTTGGTGAAGCGTTTGTTCAGGTCTTTTGCCCACTTTGTAATTGGGTTGTTTGTTTTCTTACTGTTGAGTTTTAAGAGTTCTTTGTATATTTTGGACACAAGACCTTTATCAGATATGTGTTTTGCAAATATTTCCCCTTAGTCTGTGACTTGTTTTTAATTCTCTTAAGTTTGTGCTTTGAAGGATATTATAAACAGAATATTCTCCTGTGTTATATTCTAGAACCTTTATTGATTTATCTTTCAATCCATCTGGAATTGATATTTATATCTGATGTGAAGTCGGGGTTAAGTTTTACATACACACATATATACACAAACAGAAACAAATATACATATATAGTATACATACACACACACACGCACACACACACACCCATGCACACATATCCATCCAGAACTCTTATTCGTTGCTGGTAGGAATGCAAAATGGTATAGCCACTTTGGAAGACAAATGGAATTTTATGACAATGGTAAACCTTGTCTCACCTTATGATCCAACAATCATACTCCTATGTATTTGCCCAAATAAGTTAAAAACTTACGTTAACATAAAAATTTGACATGAATGTTTATAGGAACTTTATTAATAATTGCCTAAAATTGAATGCAACCAAGATGTCTTTCAACAGATAAATGGATTAACAAACTGTGGTACATCCCTACAATGGAATATTAATATTACTGAGCAATAAGAAAAAATAAGCTAAAAACAGATATAGAGGAAACTTAAATGCATATTGCCAAGTGAAAGATGCCAGTCTGAATGACCACATATGTGTATTTCCAACAAATGTCATTTTGGAAAAGACAAAACTATAGAGACAGTAAAAAGATTAGTGGTTCCCAGTGTGTATTAATCAGGGCTTTCCAGAAAAACAGAACCAATAAGATATTTATAAATATATAAGAAGAGATGGACTTTATATTAATAACAATGTATCAATATCAGTTCACCAACTGTAACAAATGTATGACATCAATGTAAGACATAAATTAATAGGGAAACTGGAAGAGCAGGGAGTATATGGGAATCTCTGTTCTTTTGCTCAATTTTTCTGTAAAACTAAAATTGCTTTAAAAATAAAATCTAATCAAAATAAAATGTACTAACCAAAATAAGATTATTGATCATTTGGACTTACTAAAATTTAAAGCTTCTACTCATCAAAAGACATGATTAAGAGAATGATAAGGAAGGATGCAAAGTGGAAGAAGACATTTGACTTTTAAATCATACAACTCATATCTAGACTATATAAATATCTCTTATAAATCTTCAAAAAAGATAGACTCAATTTTTTTCTAAAAGGGCAAAAAACTTGAACAGGCTTTTTACAAGCGATATCCAAATGGCCGATGAACATGCAAAGGTATTCAACATCACTAGTTATCTGGAAAATGCAAATTGAAAACAAAATAGGATATTTCTACACACACCCCAGAATGGCTAAAATTAAAAAGATTGACAATACCAAGCATTTGTCAGGATATACAGCAACAGAAACTCATAGGATGCTTTGAGGGGTGTAAATTGGTAAAAACCACTTTGGAAATTTTGTTGCCAGTAAAGCTGAACATATGTGCACCCTATGATTCAGTAATTCAATCCACAGGTATAAACCTAACAGAAATATATTTTGTGCATATATATGTGCACAAAAACATAGTTATGAGAATGAGAATATTCCTAGCACATTATTCTTCATAGCACCAAACTAGAAGCAACCCAAATGCCCATTGTATTAATGCATTATCACACTGCTACAAAGACACACCTGAGACTGGGTAATTTATAAAGAAAAAAGGTTTAATCAGCTTGCAGTTCTGCAGGCTGTACAGGCTTCTGCTTCTGGGGAGCCTCAGGAAACTTACAGCTATGATGGGAGGCAAAGGGAAAGCAGGCACAGTCTTCACATGGCTGGGAGGAGAGAGAGGTAGCGAAGTGGGAGGTGGTACACACTTGCAAACACCCAGATCTTGTGAGAAGTACATCCCAAGAGCAGCAATGAGGAAGTCTGTCCCCATGATTCAATCACGTCTCACCAGGCCCCTCCTCCAACACTGGGGATACAATTTGACATGAGACTTTGGTAGGGACACAGAGCCAAACCACATCACCCATTAACAATAGAATGGATAAATTATGTTATATATGTACAATGGAATACAATTTTGCAATGAAGAAAATTATATCTATAAAAACATTAATGAATCTCAAAGGTATAACATTCAGCAACAAAAAGAGTATATACTATGTAATCTCATTCAAATAAAATTCAAAAACAGGCAACACAAATTTATAGTAATAGGAATCTGTGCCGTGGTTACCTTTGGAGGAAGCAACAACAGGGACAGGAGCACAAAGTGGGCCTCTGTGGTGGTGTTAATGTTCAGTATCTTGCTTAGTGTCATAATCAAGCTGTAAAATTAATGTTTTTATGGCCTTTACCAGTCCATAAATTAAATTTAAATTAAATAAGTGAAACAAATGGTTGCCTAAACCAACCACCTTAAAGTCATCAGTCATAAAGATTCCCAAATTACTTTTAATCCTATCATTCCTAAAGTTAAAACAGTGAGGCCCTCCTGATAACAAGATGCACTCTTATTACAGACAGTTCAATGTTCGTCCTGTGTCCAGCACATTATTAATAATTAATAACTAATATTTTAGTGCAGACACCACACTGAGTGCTTGCGTGCATTAAAACATTGAAATCTCCCAGTAACCCTTAGAGATGAATATTATTAAGCTGCTTTATAGATGAGAAAGTAAATTTTCACAAGGTCAGTGTATCAGTCAATATCTTTTGTTACGTTTAAAAGAGACCACGTTTGGTTTCAGCAAAAGGGAATGTGCTTAAAAGGGCATTGCAGAACTCCCAGAGTTGTGAGAATAGCCAAGTTGAGTCCAGTGTGAAAACGCTGTATTATTGCCCAGCACCGGAGATTGTGACCCACTCTGCCACACTGCCAGCCCTGAAACCCAGACATGGGGACTGGCAAATCTGCCACTGCTCTGGGGAGGCTCGCCGTAACTTCTGCCACCAGCACCACCAGCAAGAATGACTCTTGGTTCCCACTGCAGCAACCAAGTGTTGAGCACATGTTTCATGCCCTAAAGCAAAAGGGAATGCATGCACTTATAAAATCCCAGGTCTGGAAGGTGGCAAGCAAGAATTTGAACCCAGCTGACTTGGTTCCAAAACCAGGAGCTCAAATTTTTGCGAGACTGTCTACAAAGACGTGATGTTACTTTACCATTTAAAGGACCAAATTAGGCAAGCAAATCCACCAAGAAGCAAGCCCAACAACACCTCATGCCACTGTGTCACTTATCAGAAAGATTCAAAAATTCATTGCTTGACTAATTTATAGACAGAACCAAACTATTCATATGACAAATCAGGCTTCTGGAAATCACCAAGTGCTTTAATGAAGACAGGCAGGGAGGACCGGGTGTGACAGCTCATCTGAGAGCCAGAACTACACCATGTGGGGCCGTGTGGCTGCATGCTGACTCAGAAGAGGGGTGGGGAAGGAGGGCCGCCTCTTATTCACCAAGACCACATCCTGCCCCTCCCTCATTCTTTCCCCTGGAAGCTGCACATCAATCTTAGTGAGATCCTCCTGAAGTATGGGGCTCAGGTATTTGCAGCAAATGTCTGTGAACCTAAGAGTCCCATTTTCCAGGAACATTTGGCCCTGCTTCTTTCAATGGCGTTTAGGTGTGAAGTTAACTATGACTAAGTGTGAAGCTGATAGTCTGCACATGAAGACACAGGGCTTGATTTGGGTTATTTATTTTTCACTGTGTTTTCTTGGGCACAAACCAGTAACTAACACCATATATATAACCAGTTTGTGCCCAAGAAAACACAGTGAAAAATAAATATATATATGTATGAAAAGTAAATATATAATAAATATAAATATATATGTTTTTTAAAAAACTGGCTTTAGTTGTTTTAAATCAGAAAATTCTTCATCTAAACACACAATACCAGTTAGGTAACAACTTGGGAGAAATGTGTCCTTTCTGACGAATGTGTAAACACATATTCATTATCATCAAAGACTAAGCAAGCATTTCATCCTGCTCTGATTCATCTTAGGAAAACATGTGTTAGGCAATTCAAAATCCTTCAAATAAAGAATAAAAAGAGGCAAGGTCAAGTTTTTTCTTAAAGGACATTTAGTAAAATTAGTGTCTTTGGGGACTTTTTTGTTTTGTTTGAAGTTTGAGGACTGGAGTTTTTGGGGGGTTTTTTATTTATTTTGAGCTATCATTATTGGTTTCTATTGAAGGCAACAGTGGGAGTTAGGATTAGAAAGGCTGTGGTAGTCAATATGTAAAGGAGTTTGAAAGGTTAGGAGTCTGAACATTATTCTGTAGGCAGGGAGTAATTCATAAAAGTTTTTTATCTACTTTATTTTTACAATTTTTTAGCCAAATAGAACAAAGAGAAAAGTGTGAAAAATTTAAGTAAATTTAATTTTTTTAAATCACACATTATGCAACCACCTTTCATATCAAGAAATAGAAAACTACCAGCACCTCAGGAAGCTACCTCGTGGTATTTTTAAATTTAAAAATTATGAACTATAACCAAATAAAGAGAAAACATAAAATGTGTCTGTTTAACATGTTGCCATCAAGATCAAGAAGTCTAAGATCAAAAGCACCCCAGAAATCTCCTGAGCTTAACTCCCAAATCACAGCTTTCTCCCTCCCCATTCCTCACTCCCAAACCATAAGGTAATCACTACCCACATATTTGGAATAACCATTTCTTTGCTTTTCTTTATGGTTTTACCACCTAGATATGCATCACTAAATAAGATAGTTTAGTTTTGCCATTTTTGAACTTGTTTAAATACAATCATGCTTGATGTTTTCTTTGTTGTTTTGCTTCTTTGCCCAACAGTATTTTTGAAGAGTCATCCATGCTAATTCTTGTAGTTTATAGTTACTTTCTTTATTATAAATAATTTGTTGCATGAATATATCACAAGTTTTTTATCCAGGCTATAGTTAATCAGTTAGTGGTTTCCAGGCTGAG